ACAAGAAATGAACTGTTAAATAATAAACAGATAGATAGCTATATAATACAAGAAATGAACTGTTGAATTATAAAGCTGTACAAATGGCTCAGTGCAACTCACTCCCGTGAGAGAGTTGTGAGACACTGGCAGTCCTTCAAGTCTTGAGGGCTGCCCGGTAGTCCTCTGCAGAGAAAGCTAGGCTATCCCAGCACAGGCAGCAAAATAGCACGGCAGGTCACCAACTGTCAGCCAGGTCACCAACTGTCAGTCACCAGCTCAAGAGATGTAAATTTCAATCATGTGGTCTTAAAAGGACCTCAACTTACAGCGACACAGTCCACAGGTTAGGCGTCCCACATGTAGTGTAGCCTATAAATTGAGGTGCAGAAGAAGCAAGGCAGATGCACACTGGTCCGATGATCAAAGAGCGAGAGACAAGAAAGGCGAGCCATTTATCTCTCCGCCCTTCAATTAAGCCCACTTGTGTTTATCGGCCAGGCTGGCACAATAAACTATCTCAGACACTAAAGATTTTCACATTACAAGTTTTTTAATTTATAGTAAACCAAGTATAAGACTTCTTAGTTTACACGTGAATGTTTTATTTCATAATTTGTAAAACTAACCTAAACATTTCAATTTCCTTTCATACCCAATTGTACCAACATACTATTCAAATCAAAAAGTGCCTGGTTGGGGGTGAAAGGGAGATGATGTCAAGGAGGCCATGTAGAAAAAGAATGTTTGGAAACTGATTGTGGCAGCACCTGTACAATACTGCTGGACATGATTGAAATATGGACTGATATGATCTATGTGTTACATCCCAACTAATAATTTTTTTTATTTTTACGTACCTGGTTGGAGGAATCTTCTAGTCTCTGAACCAGAGAATCCCATCTCTGAGTCAGTTCCTCTGAGTCACTGCTGATCTTCCTAGATGCCTTGGGACTATCAAGGAGTTGGCCCACATCCTGGCCAATCTCACTCAACTGATCCAGGGTTTGACGTTTCATTTCCATATCTTCCTTCAAAATCTGAAATTTCAAGTATTTATTAGAAGCCTCCCCTTGAATTTATCTTCCTTGTCCCCCAATTGGAAAACCTCCACTTGTACATTTTATAGGAATATTTATATTGTCTTTTATAAAAATTAACAATGTACAGTTCATTAACGCTAAACTATTAAACACCATGTAATTCTAGAGCTTTCCCATTCTTGTGTTCATTCGGTGATGAGACATATTCTGTATATTAACTAAACTGTATTAACACCACTGAAAGCACTTAACAATCACAGCTTATGACACGGACCCTGAGAGTGAGTGACATCACTTACGGCCAGTCGTCGAACACTGACACTTAGTTCCTTTTGGTCTTTGAAGTGACTCGTCTGGACTTTATTTAAAGCCTCTTCTTTTTCTGTGAGCCAAGCTTTCAATAAGCACTGCAAGTAATAAGAAAAACTAGAAATACACTTGGGAAACCATTTGACAACTCAGTATAGCCAAGGTCATACATCTCTAACTTCTATTTTGTTCAAGGTAAAGGTTTCAATTCAGCTGGGCATACAGAGGACTTAAAATGCCAAAGTTGGAGGCACGAATGACACTGAAAGACAACTTCCATTAAAATACTACCTTACTTGGACATGCAACAGGCCAGCAAGGCACCAGCCAGAACCCACTGCCAGCAAGTCCGCCCAAACCAAAAAAACCCCCAAAAACGCCCAAGCCGGAAAACCCCAACGAAGCGGATTGCCTCACCTTGCCGGTAGCAGTCCGACACTGACCATTCCAACAGCACCATCAGGGCTGTCAGACAGAAGTGTGAATTCAAATTCTCTTTAGGTTTTCACAAGTGTACCCCAAAAATGACGTCATTACTCTCTAGAGGCAAAAGACGGGGGCCCCCGTAGCCCAGTGGCTATGGGCGTGGTTGCTAGCCAAAATCCTACTCTGTCCGGAGGAGGAACAAACCCAATATGTGGGTTTAGACAGAGGCAGAAGAAAGCTCGGAGATGACTTTGACCCGGGCTCTTGTTTAAGGTAGAAAGAGAGAGGGCTCACTTGGCTAATTAGCCCAAGTCACATAGAAAATCCACAGAGGAAAGCCATTGGTCTTTCCATTGTCTTGGGCAGGTCAACCATACTGCTGTGCCAGGTTCAAGAGGAATATCCTATCTCCTCAGAACACCCTGTGGAGCACAGCTCTACCCAGACACACACGGAGTTGCCATGAGTTGAAATGGACTTAAGTTCAATGGGTTTGGCTTGACTTTTGTGATTAACAGAGGTTTCAAGATGATCAAAAGCCAATATAAAAATACTCAAAATTCATGAGCCTAGGATACATGCTTCTTAAGCTGCGAGTCAGGTAAAAGGAGAGAGCACAAGGAAAGGTAGAAAACTTTGGGGGCGGCAATGGGGTAATTCATCCCCCACTACATTTCTCTGTCTCATTGCGGGGTAAATCTTGGATCTGTGTTTACACTGGAACCAATTCTTTCTGTGAGTATTTTACCTACTTATTTAAAAAACTGCTCCTTGCCTCGATACTCCATCAAGGAAAATGATGATGATAAAAAAAAAAATCAAAGATAAAGGTAGATCCTGCCCCCAGTCTGGGAAGGCTGAAAAGATATGCACATCAATAACAATGGCACAAGCATTACTATGTATCATTAAATGCCACAGTTAATTCCAAGAAGGGGAAACTATTCCTAGTAGCCCAAGAGAAAGGGGAGAGGGAGGGAGTTCACCAACGACTTAATGTTCCTTGGCAGATGGGGAAGACTTAAAAGTGAAGAGATGGTTAAAAAGGCGATACAAGGCGGCTGCAGTACATTACACAAAATGCAGTCTCCCTTTAAAACAGCAGTACTCAACCTGTGGGTTGCGACCCCTTTGGAGGTCGAACGACCCTTTCACCGGGGTCACTCGATTCATAACAGTAGCAAAATGACAGTGATGAAGTAGCAACAAAAACAGTTTTATGGTTGGGGGTCACCACCACATGAGAAACT